CCACCCGCGACCCACCCCGCGACCCACCCCGCGACCCACCCGCGACCCACCCGCGACCCACCCGCGACCCACCCGCGACCCACCCGACCCCCCGCGACCCACCCGCGACCCACCCGCGACCCACCCGCGACCCACCCCGCGACCCACCCCGCGACCCACCCCGCGACCCACCCCGCGACCCGCGACCCGCGACCCACCCGCGACCCACCCGCGACCCACCCGCGACCCACCGCGACGCACTGGCGACCCACTGGCGACCCACCCCGCGACCCACCCAAAATTTTCGGAGTTTGCGGCGGGTTTCTTTTGCATTCATTCCAGGTGGAGAACCTGCGACCCACCTGCGACCCAAACCGCGCCCGACCCGCGACCCACCGCGACCCACCCGCGACCCACCCCGCGACCCACCCAAAATTCTCGGCGCCTGCGGCGGGCTTCCTTTGCATTCGTTCCAGGTGGAGAACCTGCGACCCACCCGCGACCCAAACCGCGTTCAGTGTACAAATCAAAGTTTTCGGCGCCTGCGGCGGTCTGCTTTTGAATTCCTTCCAGGTGGAGGTGGAGAACCCGCGACCCACCCGCGACCCAAACTACGTTCACTGAAGAAGCCAAAACTTCGGCGCCTGCGGCGGGTTTCTTTGGCATTCGTCCCAGGTGGAGAACCTGCGACCCAAATCGCGTTCGGTGTACAAATCAAGATTTTCGACGCCTGCGGCGGGCTGTTTTTGAATTCCTTCTAGGTGGAGGGGGAGAGCCCGCGACCCACCCGCGACCCAGTCTGCCGTCACTAAAAGTTCACTGAACGAGCCAAACATCGTTCACTGAACGGCTCGACGCCCGCGTCACCCGCGCCCGCCCCCTCACTCTTATCCGCAACTGCGGGGTGCTACGTATTCGGGCACCTGGTGGCCAGCATATACCCATATCCACCGCCCGCTGGGTCCCAAGGACGTCGGTTCCCAGGCGGTAGTTATGGATAGATGCCCGCCTCGCATAAAGCAGTCAAGCGGGGAACTATCGCTGCTGTCGCTTCCCTGGGTTGTTGCCCAGCCTTAGGGCTGGTCGAAGGCACGGCCTTACGGCTGGTCGAAGCATGCTTGCGAGGAGGGGGGATCGGGAGGTGCGGGGGCCCACGCACTGGAGAGGCAGTGTGCCAGAGGCTCGAGTCCGTGCAGGAGGAGGGGTCGACGGCGATGGGCTTCAACAGCCGAGTTCTCGGAAGACCCCCGTTTCGGGTGTTGCCACAAGTGCCCTTGGCCCAAGGCCCCCTGAATTTCCAATGAGGCCCCCACGGCCCCCAGAGCACCCAAAAGGCCTCAGGGGTTCAGCATCGAGCAAAAAGCTAGGGGCATCTTGGGCCAGGGGCACCTTGAGCAACCCCCGAAGTCAGTGCAAAACGAGGGGTCGATAGCGATGAGCTCCCGCGGCCAGGTTCCGTGAAGACCCCCCTCCCAGTCCTCTGCGAGTCGCGAGGCTCGAGGGGTTTTGGGTGTTGGCTTCGGTTTGGGCCTCCGGGGGCCTTTGGGGACTTCTTGATGTCGGGGGACCTCTGGCAGACCCTGGGGTTCCGACGCAGCCATCACCGACAACCCATTTTGTGGTCAAAGTTCTCGGCCTGGCCTCGGTTGCCGTCTGGACCGACCTTGGGGGCATGTAGGGCACGTCTGGGAGGCCGAACAGCCGTGCATATGAATGTTTGCAACGTAGAAGATTCGGGCTTCGCGGGCTGGCCTTCAGGGATTCCAAAACGGCCCAAGATGCGCCAAAGATGACTCCAGTAGAGCCCTGAGTGCCGTTCAGGTTATGCGCAAGTAGTTCTTGGATGTGAAGGCCTCTGATCAAGTCACGCGAGCTGCCCCGAGAACGCCCAAGAGTGCTCAGGACTGCGGGATCTGGGACCCCTGAGGAACACTTGCAATACTCATTCGGAGAGCTCGAATGGACCAGGGGGCATTCCACTGAGTGCCTACGACACTGTGGATGCTTATTGTTGATGGTTGCACTTGCGTGCGGAAACATGTGGGAGGTTCCCAGAATTACCGCTCCGTTTCGAACTGACCATCCTATCGGGACAGCGTTCACATAGTACGTGTAGTTTGTCTTCCAGGAGTCGGTGAGACAGGCCTGGCGACGTTGCCATTGCGACTTGCAAGCTGTTGTGGGCAGCGTCCTGCAGCGCTTGTGTGTCAGACTCATGCAGCATCATGCTGCTCAGAACATCTGTGTCCAGCCAATGTTAGCCTCCCGCTATGCAGCGGCCCTTCTCGACTCCACACAGCGTCTTTGTTCTACATGTTCCTTCTTGCAGGACCGTGCGCTGGCACTGGAAGACCCTTACTGGGTCTGCGCCTATGCAAACAACCAGTGGGCACTTGGAGGTGACTGGCTGCGCCGCTGCGGGGGTGTCATGATCACGACCATGGTGAAAACGACGATAATCCCCATGGGGGCGATGTATGCCGATGGCGATGGTGACGGCATTCCTTCTGCTTATCGAGCCGTCGGTGACGGTCATGAAGGACTGACTATGATGACCACATCAGTTTTTGCGATGAAGCTGGCAGTCCAGGATCACGGCGACAGAGTCCGATGACTTGTCGACGACGTCAAGGTCTGACCATCCAGACCATTGTGACTGCGATTGTTTTTTCCAGTGACTCTTGTTGTACGACCGCCTGCTTTGATTGCGCGTCTTGCGCAATCATCCACCAAGAATCTGGAGACACATGACGCGGCTGGCCTGGGCGAGAGATGGTTACACATTGCTTTGATGTCGTTCAAGTGTTCGCCCCCTCTTTGGCCAGGCACGCATGGCTTCCGCGCGTGAATCGGGCGCTGGCCTCTGGATGTTCCACATGTATGTGTCCAGCCACATGTGTCTCCAGCGTCCTGGGGTGGGCTCGCCTGCTTTTCCGCCGGCCCAGGTGACGTGTCGTGCCCGGACCCGTCCCAGAGCTCGTTCCGCCGTGCGATCGACCTGAGCGTTGGAACGGCGCCTGGGGGAGGGGGTTGGCAGACCAGAGATAGGCAGCGCGCTGAGGCGGGGTGGCGCGAGGGGGCTCGTTGGCTTTCTGAGGATCAGTATCGTTTAACCAATCCTTATCCCCATGCTCATCCCCTTCGAGACCCCTATCAAATTACACCCCCAGTTGGGGATACACCCCTCGAAACCCGAAGGACACGCACGGCCTATATCCCCATCTAGGGGGGTAAATCGGCCAGTGGGGTCCAGCACACGCCGGTGGGGATGGGGATCGGTTGAACGATACTCAGAGGAGGCAGGGAGGGTTCTGAGAAGGCCGGGGCAGCCTCAGACTGGCCCAGGAGTTTTTGAGAAGGCTTCTCAGAGGGCGTGAGGGCTTCCACTTCGATTTCACTATCGTTCGGCCACAAAGCGGCGCTTCCGATGAGCATCGGGACCCCGGCGCAATGTTGCCAGGGTGCGTCTCGGTGCCCTGGAAAGCGAAGGCACACGCTTTCACGCATGTTGTCCATTGGCCCGATGATGTTCTACAGCTGTGGAGTGCGTGTTTATACGGACGTGCCGACCCAAGTTGGCGTTCAAATGTTGGGCAAACGAGCTTGGATGTCGGTCGGACAGAGTTGTTTGGGTCAAAGAGCCTTCGGCGGAATCGACGTTTTAATTTTTAACAGGCGAGTTTAGATTTTAAGCCGAAGTTGCATATTGCATGATGCCCTCCGCGAAAGCCACACTTTCGAATTCTCGGACCAGTGAATTAGCAATTTTGTAATTGCCACGCTGCTTGGCCGAGTCGAAACGACGACGCCGCTCGCTTGAAACTCCATCAGAAAAAAAAATCAAGCTGCTTGGCCGAGTCGAAACGACGATTCCTCAAGGAGGCCCTACACGGCTGTGAAGTTGCCATGCGGAATGGTTCGGGAGGAAAACCTGACCCAGGAGAGCCCCGGGGACCCAGATTTCGATCGGGGCCCCTCTCTCGTCGGCTACACGTAAGAGTGACCGTTCGCCAGAGTGACCTTCGGTGGGTGCGGGCACACTGGGGTCTCCCGATCGCTGAAATCGATGCAATAGCAGCGGCTTGCGCGCTTGGGTTTGCCCCCCCCCCCCCCACCCCCCCGCGCCCACCTAAAGCCGCGCACCGAAGGTCCCTCTTTGCCCAGGGTCACTCTTGCGTGTACCCGATCCCGGCCTGATGCGGGAACAGTGGGCCTTCGCTGGAGCGACCTCTGGCTGCGCGGTTTTTGGGTGGCGTGGGGGGTCCCAATCAACCTGCCCCGGGCCGTTCCTGCCCCGTCGTATGCAGCGATCGGCGGGCGGCGCGCCAAAGATCGCCCTTGCCTGGGGCCACTCGTTGCGACAGCCAGGGCAGCGACATTTACCGCTAGGCTGCCACGACGTGATCGGCAGAATGTGGAAACGTTGCGGGGGCCACAGGGTACTCACCGAGAGCGTTCCGATACTCGCAAGCTGCCTACGAGCAGACGTCAGGAAAATACATGTCTTCGATGTAATGGATCGTATATGCCCCACGGCGGATCCAGGCCATTTGCGAGTAGTTACTTTGAGAGTAGTGGCTTGTCTAGGTACGGCGGTCGCGGCGCAGGGAATTCAGCGCCGCAGGTCTCGCCGCGAGTTCCTGGCTCATGGGAGCCTCAGCGCCAGATGTTGCCACAACTATTGCAGGGGAGGTTCTTGACGCCTCGCGCGGCGCGTCTCCACCAGCCCATTCAATGACTATTCCTGAGCGAGTGGTGGGGGAAGTGATGTCGAGCAGCACGGCAACCAGCACGGCTCCTGTGCCAACTTCAGCGCGCCAACATGAATTGAGGGGCGCACTCCGAACCACAAGATGATGTCATAGCCCTTGAAAAAGCACGTGAGCGAAAGTCAGTCCCACTATCGTCCGCATCTCTCTCTTCTCTTTCTCGCTGCCTCTGTATCTTCCTCTATACATATTTGTTGGCTTATGTATCTCTCTTTCTCTCTCCCTTTGTTTTGCTCTCTCTCTTTCTCTCTCCCTGTCTCCACATGGTCTTCACGACGACGCGGATGAGTAAGGCCCTCGTGGACCAGCCCTGGCGCCCCAACCCGCAGGGTTGGCGAACGCGGGCGCGCGCACGCAGCACCTCAGCGGAGCAGTTCCGTCCATCGGGCCCACGCCCCGTCCTACCAGGGAACGAAAGTTGAGAGCCCCAACATCACCCACCAGGGAGAAAGAACCCCGGCAACAGTCGTACAGTCCACCGCCCTGAGACGGGCCCACATGCAATGCCCATTCGCTCCTCCCGCGTCCGAGAGGGCACAAGGCGAGGATGCCTCTGGAGGTCGGGGCCGCCAGGACCCCGCCCCAGGCGCCAGGCCGCCTACCACGCATGTTACATTGGGGGCTTGACCACGCGGAGCGTAGCTCAGCCCCCACCGCCCCTGCCGCTGCTGTAAGCCACACGCCTGACACTCGCCGCGCCCCCGACGCCAACGGCCTGAGGGCCTGAGAGAGGGCCCGAGTGGGGCCGGCGGCGAGTCCAGACCCCTGGATGGGCCAGTGCTGTCGCCACAACTCGACGGGCCGGGCTGTGCTGCCGCACACCCAGGCCCCCAACGCAACGCGCCTTGCCACCAGGCCGTTGCCCCGTCCCCCCCGGGTGCGGGGGCTCACGGCCTCAGCCCCGCCGGCCTCAGCCCCGCCTACCTGGGCATTAGGCACCCGTGAGACCAGTGCAGTGCGGATCACCGATTTGAGACGTACCTTCACGCAACGCCCCACGCTTGCCAGTCAACCGGCTGACCTCGATGGCGAGACTGCCCTCATCACCAGAATCAACAAGCGACAGAGGCTCAACGCCAGTGGAGACGACCTGAGGGCTTGCCATGGTGGCAGTCCCCAAGCAAGCACACCATGGTAGACCAGTCGAGTGACGCACCAGGACCGTCATTGACGCCTTACGTGCCGCCGTGCAAGCCGACCGCACCAGGGACACCGTTACGGATGAACCTGGCTCGCTTACCTCAAATACGAGCAAATCGGCACCAGTCCAGATTGCACAGCCGTCGCGTACCATCTGGTATAAGGGACGACCCCATCCAAGATCCCGACAACGATCACGGCACAGCCGATGATCCCATCGAAGATCCAGACGACGATGAAGGGTACATCACGACGTTGCAGCAGTGTGCTACCAGGTCAGGTCAGGTCAGAAGCCTTGCGCCAGACAGCGCGCGAGCAGGGTGAAACAATACGATTGTGCCTGTGAAGGAGCCCGTCGGCACTCCATCCAAATCAGGCTCTGCAAAGCATGTCTGGTTGACATGTGACAGAGAGGAGGAGGACGAGGAGGAGGAGGATGAGGAGGAGGAGGAGGAGGAGGTATTCCCAATCGCACAGTCCGCTCGGAACGATCTTCATCAGGCGTTCCGATTGCCTGCTTACGTTGGGGCCTCTTCCCAGGCAAGCCTCCAGGCGCGCCTCGATGCACACCACTTGCACTAGCTTTGCCATATTCCAGAGTGCGCTGCGCGAGCTGCTGGCAGTTGTTCCGTAGCGTTGGCACTGGGCCGTACAGACCGCACAGAGGGGAGCCCCAAGGCGGCGCCTTGGTTCACTCAGGTACCGTGGCGCCCGTGCCAGCGCGCGCTTGCAGCTGGCGCCTTGTGTTCGGGTGCGCAGACGGGGTGTGTCACCCCCTGATCGCCACAGACCCGCCTTGTTTTCTGGTCGGGGTCTTTCACGAACCCCGCCAGGGGTGTGGGCTACCCCACCCACGTACATCACGCAGCACTTCTCGGCAGTGTGAGGTACAGGCCTGAGAGGCAGTGACGCCACGCCAGGCCTGGACGAACTGCCGTCCGAACTGTTGCGACCTCTCTGTGTCTCTCTGTCTTCCGTCTCTCTTTCTCTCTTTCCCTCTCTCTCTCTCTCTCCTGTCTTTCTGATGTTTCCTGTCATCTCCTCCATCATCCACTATCTCCACATACCCATCGTCCCCATCCTCCTCTCCCTGCATTCCCACTCGGCCCCCTTGCACACAGAGAGCGCCCTGTGCCAAACTGCCGCCCGCCGCCCCCCCTCACTGCCCCTGGCCCCACTAGGCCCGTCCAGGCGACTTGACGCTCCGTGAAATCATGAACCTGACAATCGCTTGCGTGCAAACTGGTTTAGCACAGGCAATTCTTAGCGCACCGTGGTGGCCGTCTTGGGGCTTCTTGGGGGCTCTCTCGTGCTCCTCCGCAGGCCTCCTGAGCCGCCCCAGGGCAGGCTTGGAGCTTGCCTGCGCTCTCCTGGGCCTCCTTGGGCCCTCCAGACCTGAATCACGCTTCCGAGGCCACCTGGGGCGGAAACCTTACGAAACAAACGCCCGTGCAGACATTACAGTCGGGGTCGGTTCGGGGAGGGTATACTCCAGTGTTCTTCGTGTTTCTTGGATGTTCTTGTGCATCCTGAGGAGGGTACCCTGCATCTTGTTGCATGCTCGTGTGCATTCTGCTTGTTTTGGCCACCGGAGGGTCTCGTAATCTTGAGGGATGTTCTTCTGGCCTAGGTCCGACTGCCACACTGTTCCAATCGGTTGGGCTGCGTGGGGCCTCTTTGGGGGCCCTGGCGGGGCTCCTTTTTCGCAGCACCGCCGCGGTTCCGCCGCGGGGCCCCTCCTCGGCCCCGCGGGCGAGCGTGGCCCCAGACGGCAGGGCCAGCTTCGATCCCGGGCCCCCTCGACATCGATTCGGCAGAGGAGGAAAATCTACCCATACCGCTACCCTTCGCCCGTGTTCCCTTTTTCCGGCCTCCTGGGAGGCCCTCGTCGCCACCGCTGGATTCGCCTCGAAATCCTGGTCCGAAAGCACCCCGGGAGTGGCCGTATCGGTACCTTTCGATTTCCCCAATTCGGTTCCGGCATCTCCAGCGATCCGATGCGGCCAGATACTTGCATGCCGTCGCTGTGCATCCGATGGCGCGGCCGACCCGACTCGACTCCGGCTCCGTGCCGGCACAGCCCGATGATCGGGGGGACGAGACGCGACACCACCACCGCCACCACCAGGGGTACCACCTCCAGCCACTAGGTCCACGATGCCTCCCCGAGCTGGGGATAGGGGATGGCTCGGAGGGGGGACCACACCTCCAGGAGGACCCTTTCCTGGGTCCTGTGATTGGATGCGCGTTCCATTTCGACCCGACTCACCTGTTCGGCGCCGACCGCTCTTGTCGGGCGGGTGGTCATGGGGGATGACTGAAGGGGGGCGTGAAGACGTAGGGCTGGCCACTCTTGGAGCCAGCGGGGTCCCAAAAGGGGCTCTAAGGCGTTCCTGTAGGGCCCTTGTCTTCGAACAAAAAAAAACGGCATAATCATAAACTTTTGGCGTTCCGCGCGGGATCCGCGCTGTGCCCCCCTCCGGCGCCGGAGGCGCCGCCGGGAGGGCCCAGCGCGCGCAGCGCCAACAGTTTATGTTTATGCCATTGTTTCGTCTTCTTCTTCCTCTTCTTCTTCCTCTTCTTCTTCTTCTTCTTCTTCTTCTTCTTCTTATTTTTCTTATTGTTCTTCTCCTTCTTCTTCTTCTTCTTCTTCTTCCCATTGCCACCCGCCCGGCCTTGGGCAGAGCCCCGCGCGAGTCCTGGGGCAGGACTTTGCGCTCGGCGCCCGCGCCCGCAGGGCAGGCGCAGCCCGTTGGCTCGAGCGGGGGGCCGCCCTTAGAGGGCCGGCGGCTCCCCCGACCCCGGAAGGGAAGCCCTGCGCTCTCGGGGGGCCCCGATCGGCCACGCGCTCTCGGGGGGGGGCCCGGAAAGGAGCCCTGCGCTCTCGGGGGGCCCCGCGGCGGCTATGCGCGCAGGAGTGACCTCTCGCCCGGAGTGGCCTCTGCTGCGGGCCCAAGGGGGTCCCCCGATCGCCGAGCGCGATGCGGCGGTGGCGTCTTGCGCGCTTGCGTCTGGCTCCCCCGCGGCCCCCCAAAAAGTCGGGCCGGACGAAAGGGGGGGATTGGGAAAGGGGGGGGGTACGAAACCTGCTGCGTGCAGCCGGTTTCGGCCCGATACATGGCCGCCTCTGGCGCCGGGAGGCGCCGGGAAAATCAGCTACGTGAGCTGATTCTCAAACCCCCCCCTTTGCTATCCCCCCCTTTCGCCTGGCCCGAACAAGCCGCGCACCAAAGGCTACCCAGGGTCACTCTTGCGTGTCAGTCGGCCCGACGGCGGCACAGGCACGGGCTCCAGGAGGCCCGCGCGGGCTCTGCTGGGTCGGCGCTGGACCTCCCGCCCGTTGGAGCCTCCCTCTCCGGGCCACGGAGGTCGGATACAGCTGGCAAAATCACCGGCCTCTTGGGGAGATTCGCCGACAGATGGTGCGTCCACCAGCAGCTGGATTTGGGCTCTCCGCCGTGGAGTGCTCTCCGTCTTGGACGGCTCCATGGGGGCCTTGGGCCGTCGGCGAAGGCGCCCGTGTTCTTGACCCACGCTCTTCCAGCTTGGGATACGCTGAAGGGCGAGTGTACATCCGCAGGTGAGTGGAGCTCCCTCGCGGAGCCATGCGCCGGCGTCCGTCCGTCCGTCCTCTCCAGGCGTCTCAGATGGGGTCCGCGCAGCTGGGGCAGGAAAACAGGTACCCGTGCGGGTACAAGGGTATACTTGTGAACTCGTGTGCAGGAAACCGAGTACCTGTACAGGTGCAAGGGTATACCCTTGCCTCGTGTACGGGAAAACAGGTACCCGTACGGGTACAAGGGTATATCTTTGCCCCGTCTTCAGGAACACAGGTACCCGTACGGGTACACCTTTGCCTCGTGTTCGATGCTTTTGGAGCTTCCCGGGAGGACCTCGCCGCCACGGCTGGATTCGCCCCGGGATTCTGGTCAGAACTCCGGGATCTAGGACTCCCAGATCGGGACCGAGTAGACGGGGTCGGAGGATCGCGCCGCATCGTCGATGCATCCGCGATGCGGCTCGAAGTGGAGTCCGACTTTCTCCACGCCGTCGGCGCCGATGCACTGTCGACGTCACCGATGCATCGGCGATGCGGCGCGATCCTCCGACCCCATCTGCGCGGACCCCATCTAGGAGACCTACCTTCGGCGGCGGCCAGGAGGGAGTGGTGCGAGGGGGGGTGGCCTCCTGAGAAGGCGGCGGGCTTCCATGAAGGCAGGGGTGCTTCTTGGAAGCCCGCCCAGCCTCTGAGAAGTTCCCTCGAAGCCCGCTGGGTTTTTCTCAGAAGGCCCCTGTCTTCTGAGAAGCCCTCTCCGGCTTCTAAGTGAGCCGCCCCCCCTCGCGCCTCCCCCTCATGGGCGCCGCCATGTCCTCCCACCCCTTCCCTAGCTCCCCGTCCCCCCTCGGAGATCCTCTTCTTCCTCCTCCTCCTCCTCCTCCTCGTCCTCTTCCTCCTCCTCCTCCTCCTCCTCCCGCTCCGCTTCGCACTGCCTTCCCTGGCGCGAGGAGCGCGCATTGGTGCGGCGCCATAGGGGCGTCGCCCGAGGGGCGTGCGTCGGCTTCGCGCAGGGGCGGCCCTTCGCCGGAGTGACCCCTGGTGCGCGGCCCTCGGGGGGCGCGGCGGAGCCACGCCTGGGCGCGCAGGCCGCCGCCGTCGCATCGCATGCGACGAGCTGCGGGCCGCGTTCCGCTTGCCCCTGAGTCGGGCCTGTTCCTCTACTGGGGGAATGTTCAAAAATAGTCAGAAAATACTCGGGGGACTATTGTTGGAGCATTTTGATGACTACTTTGGGGTACTTTTTGAATATTTGTTTTTTTTGTCCGTCGAAAATCCCCCTGTAGGGGGACACGCCCGACTTGATCTTGCCCGGGGCCACTGTGCGCGCGGCCGAGTGCAGGGAGAGGGCGGTCCAGCGCCGACCCTGGCAGTCCCCGCGCGGACCTCCGAAAGGCTGTGCTTGCGCGGTCTTGCCCCGCTCGGCGGCCCCCGCTGGCGCGCCGCCCCGCGGGCCATGGCGGATGACAGGCCCCCGGACTGCGACTACGAGGTCGGCGCTTCGGCGGCCCTGACGAGGGCAGGCATCTTCCCCATGCGGCTGTGCTGCTGCCTCCCGTTGCCGCTGAAGGCGATGGTTCCCGCGACGCTCCACGTGATTCAGGACTTCACGCACCTCGCCATGGTCGCGGGCTCGGTGAGCGCCGTCCTCATCTTGGTCAAACAGCTGTACAACCTCATGGGCAGCAAGGAGCTCATGAACCCTGGGCACTGGTGGGAGCCCGTTCTGACCATCGTGGCCACCGCGCCGAACCTGGCGTACATGATGAAGCTTCTTGGCCGTTACGACGAGCAGATTGTGGTAAAGGAGAAGGCGATCAACGAGAAGAAGAAAGAGCTCGCCAACTCGTATTCGAACCTAGTACAGGACATGGACGACCTCCTCGGGAAGGCCGCGGAGTCGTCCGCCACCATGGCCGAGCGGGGGTTCGAGTCCAAGCGGCGAGACTTCCAGCGCTTCCTGGAGAGGGCCGACGTGCGGTACGCGCAGGTCCAGGCGTCCTTCTCCCAGTCAGACCGCGAGCAGCTGGTCGTGCAGTTCCGGCGCTTCGTGCAAAGGTGGCTCACCGTCTTCACTGAGTGCTCGGTGGACCCAATTGGGCACCCCAAGAGGGTGGTAAGCGAGGAAGAGCTGGCGCAGTGCTGGACGATCGGCGAGATTGCCGGCCTCACTCTGGAGAGGCTCAAGCTCACAGAGGTCAGGTTCATCTCCGCCCGGTGCGATCAGGACAAGAAGCTCCTCAAGGGCTTCCGCGCGCAGCACCGGAAGCTGACGGTTGCAGAGCTAACCCCGCTGCAGCTGAAGTCCTTGCAGGGCATGGCCACGAGTGTGCAGCCGAAGCAGCCGCTGGAGATCGAGATGTCCTCCAGCGTGCGGTCGCGCCTTCCCTCCACCGTCGAGGAGGAGGAGGACTCGGACGTCGAAGACCTCCGGGAAGGTGCTCACGAGCGACCAAGGTATCCACATCAATGCCCCCGCGGTTCAAGCACCGAGGCGCAACCCATGGACACGCGATCCCGTGGACATGTCAGCGACGCAGGAAAAACATGTTCGACTGCTCGGACATTCGCGCGTAGTCTGCCCGCGTAGGGTCGCGCGTGAGCGTCCCCGTTTCCGCAGTGGCGCGCCGCACTGGTGGCCCGCGTAAGCCGCGGCGTAAGGTCGCTATGACATCTCGCGTAAGACCTTCTTTTCGTCGCTCACTTGGGCTCTCCCGGGCCTCCTTGGGCCTTTGGGGCGCTTCCGAGGCCACTCGGGGCGGACAAGCATAGAAAACGAGTATCCCTGCAAACATCCGCGTAGCGCTCGCTGTGCCGTCGCGCGTGAGGCCCGCCTCTCCGCGTCACCCCGCGCCGCGCAAGGGGGCATCTCGTCGCGCCGCCGCCCTGCACCCGTGGGTCCGCGGCCGACGAGCCTGGGCCGCGAGGCCGTGGATGCGGATGTGCCCCCCGCCCCACGAGGCCCCTCCGCCGCGACGTCTCGGGGCGGCCGGCCGACCGTGGTCGCCGCGAGGCCGGCCGCGATGCTGCGGAGGTGGTTCCCCTGCGGCTGGCTGGCGGCGGGGTCGTTCGGCCTGGGCTGCACCACGGGCGGCATGCCCGGCGGGTGGCCCAGGTCCTCGGGGCAGGAGAAGGGGTACCGATGCGGGTGTGCCGTTGTTTCGTGTTCGTCGTGTTCGGGCTTCCTGGGAGGCCCTCGTCGCCACGGCTGGATTCGCCCCAGGATTCTGGTCAGAACTCCAGGACTCAGATCGGGTCCCAGCAGATGGGGTCGGAGGCTCGCGCCGCATCGGCGATGCATCGGCGATCCGGCTCTACGCCGACGCCGCGAATGCACAGCCAATGTCGGCGATGCATCGGCGATGCATCTGCGATGCGGCGCGATCCTCTGACCCCATCTACTCGGACCCCATCTAGGATGCCACTAAGATTGCACCAAGGGAGAGGTCCGGGTAGCAGCGGCATCGATGCTTTCGGGCTCCTCCGAGGTCCATGCAGTGCATGTGCGCTCAGCTCATCCTCCTCTCTCAGGATCGGAGGCCCCGAAAGGGCCAGGCGGCCACGCCGCGCACCGGGTCGGACAAGCCAGAGGCGGCTCGGGGTGACCGGGCGATTTTGAGTCTCTGTTCGCTCTCGGAGGTTGCCTCGAGCTCCCTGGGCTTCCCAGAGCCCCAGGCTCATGGCGCCAACATCGCAACTTAGCTGCCTCGATACGCACGTTTTGATACGCAACACGTACCGTACTCAAGACGTCCGTGCCAATACGTTGCGTGTCGGCTCCACGTATTGGACCACGTTTTGGCGAATGTATCGCGTCGGACCCACGTATTCAGGATACGTGTTGAGCTCCGTATCAACACGCTACGTGTTGCGTGTTGCGTATCGGGGCGGCTAAGCATCGCAAAGCGGATTTCGACCAGAAAACAATAGGACGGGCCCAGTGTGTCCTGGATATTTTCGTTCCTGATTGTAATGGCCTCCGGCCTGTGCCGCCGATCCGGGGCGTTCGGCGTGTTGCGATTCGATTATCCCTCTTCTCTCCCTCCCTCCCTGTTTTCCTCCCTCCCTCCCTCCCCCTCTCCCTCCCCAGATCCCTCCCCCCCACCCTGCTTCCCCTCCCTCCTTCCCCCGCCCTCCCTCCCCACAACCCTCCCCCCTTTCTCCCCTCCCCTCCTCTCCCACCTCCCCCCCCCGCCCACTTACCCCTCTCCGTAACGCTTTCTGCGGCGCACAAGGTATCCAGCTGCCTGCGGCAAGTCCTGCGACCGTGCCAGTCGAGCCTTCTCAGTTGCAGCAGCTCCAATTGATGAGGTTGTTGATGGCGGTGGATGGTGATGAAGATGCTGTTGGTGATGATGATGCTGATGCCGATGACGTTGACGACGACGATGATGATGATGATGATGATGATGATGATGATGATGATGATGATGATGATGATGATGATGATGATGATGATGATGTCGATGACGACGACGATGACGATGCTGATGACGACGATGACGATGATAAGGATGACGACGATGATGATGATGAGGATGACGATGATAAGGATGAAGATGATGAGGATGACGATGGTGGTGTCTTCGATAATGACAAACAGGATGATAGGGACGAGAAGGGTGGTGACGTGGTGACGACGGTTAGGAAGAGTTGGAGGAGGAGGCGGGGGAGAGGCAGGTTCAGTGTTGTGGGCCTGTAGCCGTCGAGGTCCAACCTTATTCCACACCTTTGCTTTCAAGTCTGTATCCCAATGGCGGTGGCGAAAGGGAAGGCGCCCGCGAAACGCAGAGCCATAGCAGCGTCAAGCGGCACCGCGATGCAAGAAGATGCAGAGATTGAGGGCGAGCCGGCTGCGACTCGGAGGCCACACGAGGTGAACAAGAAGGCTGGACTGGCGAAGCCCATAAATGAGTTGAAAAGGCATCTGCGTGCCTCCCTCGTAGGGCACTTGGAAGTATTGCATATTGTTGCAAAACATGCCGGGCCACAGCGGGCAAGCGAGGCTGAGAAGGCATTATCGCGGCACAAAAATATTACGTATTGCTGTGGGTGTGATGACGGGGAGGGGAAACCTGAAGCAGACTGGAATCGCGTAGGCCACAGTGCTGTTGCGAGTCTGGAACACTTAGAACGATGCGTAGCTGCAGCGGGTGTCGCCGGGCAGGCTTTGCAGGGGAAGCACGTGTCGATGGTGTTGCGGAACACTGATGAAACAGCAAAACAGCTCCGGAAGGTCAGGCCGAAAAGTTCGAGAGCGAAGGCAGCTGGCGTGGATAAGGCGAAGTATACGCAATCGTGGAAGGACAGTGTCGCGAAGGCCCGGGCTGAATTAGGGTTGCCAGGCAACGCGAGTTTTGCTAAGGGAACACCCTTGTACAAGAAGGCGAAGGAATTCCACGACGAAGCAAAGGAGCGCGCACTTGCGTGAGGTAGTCCTGGTCTCAGCAACATGTGAGCATAGGTTGTAGCGACACCGCTCGGCGGATGGAGCGACACCCGCGCTCGCGTGAGGTAATCGAGGCTTCTGCCAGCAATTAGCACGAAGTAGTCGCGACACCGTTCTGACGGAAGCGCGCGAGACCACGCGCGGACACTGAAAATCTAACCACATCTATCCACATCATCGTGCGTAATTAGTTGCCTGCGCAGGTGCGCGTGCGTGTGCCGTTCCACGCAGGACACGGCGGGCACGGCGGCGACGGCGCGGCGACGGCGCATGGCTTGAGGAGGCCCCCGACTCGGGTTTCCGTGGGAGGAAGCGTTTGTGGACCCCGACTTCCAATACCGATGTTCAGGAATTCTGGGAAATCTCCGAGTCGGAAAATGGCGCCGGGGAGCGCCGAGGAGTGCGATGGAGTAGGGAGTATGTGTTTTGTGGACCCCCGGGACCTCCACAAACGGATTTCCAAGACCTCCAGAAATGTCCACATCGCCAAATCGACACAAATGGCATTAGGGAGCGCCGAGGAGTGCGACGCAATCGGGGTATGTGTTTTTTGGACACCCGGGGCTTTCGAACAACGAGCTGACGGGACTTCCGGAAATATCCAAATCGAAAGAAAGGGCGCTGGGGAGTGCCTAGTGGGGGGGCCCTGGAGGAGTCTGGACTTCGTCGCCGTCGCCGTCGCCGTCGTCGGAGGGCCCCAGAAAAAGTTCCCGGGGGGGACCCCATAGGAATGCAGAGGATCTACACTTCTGAGCGCCATTTCTGGAGCGCATATACTGAGGGCCACTCTGTCAAAGCAGCGAATCCGCGACCTTCGGAGCGCATATACAAGCTACAGAGAAGCCTTTTGCAAAAACAGCAAATCTGCAATGCCCTTGAGTGCATCTACAGAAGGTCCTTCTGTAAAAGCAGCAAGCCCGCCGCTCGTCGAGCGCATCTACAGAGGGCCCGTCTGTAGAACCAGCAAATATCGCAAGCAACTAATGCCTATGAGCGAATCTACAGAGGATCCCCCTGTAAAAGCAGCAAATCCCGCGCGCCACCCCCTGAGCGCATCTACAGAAGGCTTCTCTGTAAAAGCGCGCGTCCCCCCCCCCCCCCCCTCCACTCCAGAGCGAAGCTTGAGCAAGCTCAAGCCCTCGCCCTCAGAAGCTCACACGCCGGATCGGCGGATTTCGAGGTGAAAATTTCGTGCGGATTTTTTGCTGGCCAGGAATGTAGACCCAACAAAAGACCACGCGAAGTTCACTTAGTTTTATCGTTCGCCGCTTCGGGCAGAAGTCCACGCAGAAATCCGCTGCAGCACGTCTGCAAGGCCGGTGCAACGACCAGGCCGTCGGGGAGGGACCGTCCAGGGAGCCGGGGCGAGCGAGAGGGGGCGCCTGGGAGCGCTGGGGGCGCAGGAGGGCTGCCGCACGCAGCTGGCTTCGGCCCCGCCGCCGGGCACTCTCCTCGACACACTCGGGCAGGGGATCGACTACAGAACCGAATTCAACCCCGAAAGATTCTAGCTTTTGCAGCGGGTCTACGAAACATGCGTAGGATGGTTGTCGAATGTCCGAGCATGCCACGTATGTTCTTCCCGTAGATTCGACGGACAATCAACTTGGGGGTAAATCAATTCTGTAGTCGATCCCCTGCTGGATACATGGGCGGCGCTGGCGCGGGGAAGACCCGTCGCGTGAGCTGATGCGCCGCTCGCCTCCCCTATGATACCCCCCCCCCATGACATCATCCTCCGATACGTTTTTTTCAACCCGCTGCCCCAGAGGTCCCGGCCCCTGCTCCTGGGGTAGTTTCTCGCCCCGGATCCGTCTTGGATGGCCCCGGGGCCAGATCACGGGCCCCGGAGGCCGAATTCGGGGAAAAACCCCCCAAGTGAACAAAACAGCTTGTCGAAGATCTGAGGTCGGGTGACGGGTCGTGAGGTTTTTGGGATTTCGAGGTCACCAGGCGGCCTTTGGCGGCTCTCGCCAGGAGCACCTGGCCCTGATTGTCGCGTGGATGTGCGTGGTTGCCCTTGTCGTACTCGAGGCGTTCGTGGGCCCGCGCGACAACATGCTCATGGTCGGTGTCTTTCCTTATCCAGATGCCTGCGGCCAGTCCCGCCACCGTGACAGCCCAGGAATCAGACATACCGCTGCCCTTGCTTTGTTTTCGCCTATCTGGGCCTCCAGGGAGGCCCACTTCGCCACGGCTGCATTCGCCTCGAAATTTTGGCCAGAACTTACCCCTGGAGATGTCGGGGGGTAGCGGTAGCAGTAACTTGTGGCTTCCTCCAGCAATCCAGACGTCAGCAAGAGACGTGTCCCCCCCCCGTGAACCAACACTTCGGAGAGCCGCAATGTGACACGCCCCTCCACGTCGGGTTGGGGTGTCTCTCCTCGTGTTCGTCGTAGTCTTCCTCCCTTCCTATTCTTCACTCCTCCTTCGCGCCTCCTGGGTGCGCCTCGGGGGCCTCTTGTTTGCGTTTGGGGGGCGGATGGGGGGTCTCTCGGGGACTCTGTGGCCCGTCTTGGGGCGCTCTTGGGCAGTCTGGCGCCTTCGGAGCCCGTCTTGGAAGCTTCCCTGGGCCGTCTTGGGGCCCCCTTGGGGCCCTGAGGGGTAGTCTTGGGCCCCCCCTTGGGCCGTCTTGGGGCCTGTTTGCGCCGCCTTGCAGCCGTATTGCCGGCCTCTTGGGCCATCCTGAGAGCCTCTTCGGCCGTCTGGGGGCTCTTTGGGGGGCCTCTTCGGCTGTCCGGGGGCTCTCTTGGGGGCCTCTTGTGCCGCCTTGGGGTCATCTTGGGGGCCTCTTGAGCCGTCTTGGGCTGACGGAGGCCAGACAAGGCGAGGAAGCGAACGTCATCAAACACCCTACCATGTCAAATTAATGGTTTTGACCCGTCGGCCTCTCCTGGAGGTCCTCTTGGAGCCCTCTTGGGCCGTATTGAGGGCCTCTTGGGTCATATTGAGGCCGTAGGCCGCCTTGAAGCCATGTTGAACCATCGAAGAGACGTATTGGGCCGTCTTGATGACCTCAGTGACACGCCTGGGGTGTCTTGGAAACCGTCCTGGACATCTTGGACACCGAGCGAAAGGGCCGTCTGCAGGGCCTGGAAGGGGTGCCAGGCCGCCGAGCGAGCCTCTGTAAAAGGGGTGCGGTGCACTCGATTGGATGCCAGGAAGAGGGGAGGGCTAACCCTCCCAACCACCCCTTGGCATTCTACCACGCCTCAACGTGCCAAAGTGCACGGTGGCGGTCTCAAGATGCTTACGCCATTCTGCCGACCTAGGAGGCCTTTCGCTTCTCATATGTCCACCAGCCCGTTGAAACACAAAGGCCAGCAATGCTGAACATACAGAGGACTTCTAGGAGCCCCTTGGAGGCTACTTAGAGGCCTCTAGAGGTCTCTCGGGGACCGTTTGGGAGCCTTTGGGGCCTCCTTGGGGCTTTCGGTGGCCGTCTTGTGTAAGGAAAATTGTACATTGGGTCCATTACAGGCGCTCTTGGGATGCTCTTGGGGGCCTTCCGGACCGTCTTGGAGCGCTTCGGGGCCTCTTGAGGGGCTCTCTTTGCCGACTTTGGAGCCATCTTAGAAGGGAAAAGGTGAGAAGGCAACAGTCATGAAAACACATCAGGGTTTGGGAAGATTTGGGCCTCTCGGGGGTATCCTAAGGAGGCTCGGTAACCACGTGGAGCCGTCGTTGGGCCTTCTTGGCCGTGCACGGGGCCCTTTGGAGCCGTCCTGAAGGCCATCTTGGGCATCTCGGAGGCGTCCGAAAAGCGGAGTGGGGGCTCGCCCGGGAGATGCGCAAGGGCGCCCGCCGTCCCCCTGCCGCCGCCTCCCTGCACGTGTATCGGGTCGAGGGGAAGACACGGCGATTGGGACCTCGTCGACAGTGGCGTGGGATCTCGTCGACGCGGACCTTGGTGATGGTCCGTGCGGGCCGTCGCCGATTCGCGAGGATGACCCCCGAGTTTCGACAACGCGTCGCCTGATCGACCTCTGGAGCGGGCCGCCTGGGGGCCTCCGACCGCTGAGCGCGATGCGATAGCATTATTGGCATGTGCGCCCGGGTTTCCCCCCCCTCCCCCCCCCCCCCCTCTCGGCCCCCCGGCGCGCTCCCCTACAGCTGCGTACCACGGGTCACTCTCGCCCAGGGTCACCCTTGCGATGGAAACCGATCGCAACCACTGGGCCTATCGTCGACCACTTCGGATTGCTAACAACCAGTTGCGATCGGTCCGATGTGGTTGCGATGTTTTTGGGTCGCTTCACCAAGGTGTCGATTAAGGGAGAGATCATAAGAGCGCTTCTGGGCGCACTGAGTTCTCTCAAGCCGCCCAAGGGGAATCTGAAAAAGCGGTTGCAATCGGTCCGATCACCGACGGTCGGTCATGATCTCAGCTAAACGCATGTACTTGAGCTCGAACGTGGCCATGATCCGTATACGATTCCTATGTGCCTCGTATACGATCCCTATGTGATTCGTGTGCGATTATGATGTGATTCGTATATGATTCCGATGTGATTCGAATACGGTTTCAGTGTGATTCGTCTGAGGCATTCGCCAGAATCCTAAGAGGGTCTCTTCGCGAATATTCAGAATTCCTACGGATCCGACCAATTCCCGGATTCTTGGGAGGGCCTCCCAGTGAATCCTAGGGCCTCCTAGTGAATCCTGGGAATTCCCAGGGATCCGACCAATTGCCAAACTCCTGAGAAGGATCCGCAAGGACTTTTCTACGGATCCTACCACTTCCCAGATTCCTGGGAGGGCCTCCCAAGGAGCCCCAGGAATCTCCAGGGATCCTACCAATTCCCAGATTCCTGAGATGGCCTCTGAGGGAATCCTCGGAATTCCGAAGGACCCTACCAAGTGCCAGATGCCTGGGAGGGCCTCCTCGGCAATACTAGGAATTCCCAGGGATCCCACAAATTGTTCAGATGCCTGGGAGGGCCTCCTAAGGAACCAGAAGAATTCGGCATGATCGTATCAATGACCAGGTTCCTAAGCGGGCCTCATAAGCAATCCTAGGGATGCGACGGGATCCCACCTATTGTTCAGATTCCTGGGAGGGCCTTTTCGGGAACCCCAGGAATTCCAAGGGATCCTACCAATCCCCGGATTCCTGAGAGGGCCTCCTGGGCAATCCTCGGAATTCTTAAGGATGCTACCACTTGCAAGATGCCTGAGAAGGCCTCCTAGGGAATCCTAAACATTCCTGGCGATCCTACAAACCACAAGATTCCTGAGAGGGCGGCTTAGGGGATCCTAGGAATTCCTAGGGCTCCGACCTATTCCCAGATTCCTGGGAGGGCCTCCGAAAGCATCCTAGGAATTCCCAGGGATCCCACCACATGCCAGAGGGCCTCTGAGGGAACCCTAAGAATTCCGATGGACCTGACCAACTCCCAGATAGAACGCCCAAATAGACCGAATAGAGCGCCCAATAGAGCTCCGAATAGCCCCGGATAGAACGCCCAAGTAGAGCTCCTGATAGAGTGCGCAATAGAGCTCGTGATAGAGCGCGCAACTCAGCTCCGAATCGAGCGCCCAATAGAGCTCCGAACAGAGCGCCCCATAGAGCTCAGAATGAGTCTTCTCAAAAGCTTCTCAGACGCCTCTGGGAAGCCTCTCGGAAGCATCGCTGAGGCCTCAGAGAAGCCTATCAGAGGCCTCGCTGAGTCCTCGCAGAGGCCTCGGCCTGTCAGAGGCCTCAGAGAAGGATCTCAGAGAAGCCTCTCAGAGGCCTCAGAGAAGCTCTCAGAGAAGCCTCTCAGAGAAGCCTCTCAGAGGCCTCAGAGAAGCCTCTGAAAAAAAGCCTCCCTGAGGCCTCGCTGAGATTTCAGCAGAAGCTCTTCAGAAGCTCTGCATAAACTCTTCGGACGCTCTTCAGAAGCTCTGCAGAAGCTTTGCAGCAGCTGCTGCAGCTCCGTAGAAGCTCTGCAGAAGCTGTGCAGAAGCTCTGCAGAAGCTCCGCGTAAGCCCTTCAGAAACTCTTCAGAAATATGTCAGAAGCTCTGCAGAAGCTTTTCGGAAGGTCTGCAGAAGCACTGCAGAAGCTCTGCAGAAGCTCTTCGGAAGCTCGTCAGAAGCTCAGCAGAAGCTCTGCGGAAGCTCTACAGAAGCTCTGCAGAGGCTCTGCAGAAGCTCTGCAGAAGCTCTGCAGAAACTCTGCAGAAGCTCTCTGCAGAGCTTCTGCATAAGCTCTTCAGAAGCTCAGCAGAAGCTTTGCGGAAGCTCTGCGGAAGCATTGCAGGAACTCTGCAGAAGCTCTATGCAGAAGCTCTGCAGAAGCTCTGCCGAAGCTCTGCAGAAGCTTTGCAGAAACCCTGCAGGAGCTCTGCAGAAATTCTGCAGAAGCTCTGCAGAAGCTCCGCAGAAGTTCTGCAGAAGCTCTGCCGAAGTTCAGACGAAGCTCTGCAGAAGCACTCCAGAATCTCTGCTGAAGCTCTTGGATCGATTTCAATATGGTGTTCTCGGCACATGTTCGTATAGGAATCAGTCCGTTCCCAGTGCATGTAACTTGACCGAAGTCAGAGTGAGGGGGCCGAACGGTCGTTCACTGTCTTTGGGTGCGTGGCTGAAGTGGAATTTCCCGGTACGGATTCTCGTTGATGTTGCTGTTTGTTGTTGTTTGTTGTTGTTTGTTGTTGTTTGTTGTTGTTTGTTGTCGTCGGTCGTCCCACCCGCAACCCGCCCCGCGACCCACCCGCGACCCACCCCGCGACCCTTCCCGCGACCCACCCGCGACCCACCCGCGACCCACCCGCGACCCACCCCGCGACCCACCCCGCGACCCACCCCGCGACCCACCCGCGACCCACCCGCGACCACCCGCGACCCACCCCGCGACCCACCCCACGACCCACCCCGCGACCCACCCGCGACCCACCCGCGACCCACCCGCGACCCACCCCGCGACCCGCCCGCGGCCCACCCCGCGACCCACCCGCGACCCACCCGCGACCCACCCGCGACCCACCCGCGACCCACCCGCGACCCACC